AATTACTTTGCCGAAAGTTTCTACCTGCACTCCTCGGCAAAGTTTTTTTTAAATAATTTCTTTGCCGAGTGTCCTTGTTTAGGAACTCGGCAAAGAATTTCTGGATTTTTTTAAAAAAATACTTTGCCGAGTGCCGCGACGAAGCACTCGGCAAAGAATTTTTTTTTTGAAAAAACTTTGCCGAGTGCCATGGGCGACCCCGAGAATTGCAATTTTTTTTACATTCCATTGTAACAGACAATATATATATATATACATCAATCATCACATCTATATCACCAACATGCATTATATATCACAAGCACACGCATATTTAATAAATCCATCGAAAATCCATCACAAATGCACCAAAGTTCAACATCACAAGTTTATTATTACAAGTTCAACATCACAAAGTTCAACATCCCTACCGCGGCGACGGAGACTACAGGTGTGGCCCCCCGAACTGCGGTGAAGGACCGGACTGCGGCGAAGGGTTGACGCGATCAGCCGCCACATGCCATTTGCATCAAATCTATCCACAGATTCATCCAAAAAACCATTTGCAGATCCCAAACAAATTCAGCCAAGATAGAGTGCAGTAGATCCATCGTGTCGTTGTCAAATCACCCTGATATGGGAGCATGGTGATGCTGGTGTGGTCGCCTGGACCTGCAAGCTGCAAACCATAGTTTGATTAAAAACAAGTACTGAAATAGTCATAGTCTTAGTTAGCTGAGTTTGCTTCTTCCATTGCGGGTATTTTTTTAGCATAGAAGACAGAATTCTAGAAACCTACGAGTCAAGACATATTTACCTCAGACATCTTCAAGTTCAAAATTACTACTTGGTAAATCACAGGATGCAAATAGAGATATTATTACTACAGTAGTTCAAGTTCAGAATTACTACTTGGTAAATCCAGGAATTATCCTGAGCATTTTCATATTACAATTACAATATAACTAATCCAGGAGACGACTCATTTATTTACCTCAGATTTCTACAATAGTTAATGTACAAAATTACTAGTATTTCATAGGTTACATGATGCATGAGGTATTATTATTTGAACAATTAATCAAGGGATTACCATGGGCATTTTCAAATTACAGCGTAACTAATCCAGGAGATGACATGTTTCAGATCTGGAAACAACAGTTGTAGTATTGGTAGTAGCATTAGTAGGAGTAGCAGCAGCAATAGCAGGAGTAGCAGCAGGTATAGTAAGAGTAATTATTTGAATTCAGACACTAATACTTGTTTGAATCAGTTACTACTAATTGTTTGAAATAGGGTGTGATTACACTACTACTTTATTCTACAATAGTGTACGTTCATGAGAGCGGAACATGCTGCACACCTCGTTGGCATCTTCTACATTCGAACCAACCTGCATAATAATGAGAAACCATCAGAAAACATTTCAGTAAAACACATAGGTATGCAGCTAAACAGGCAGAGCATCATGTATCATCAAGTATCGAATTTACAACCATAAGATTTAGTAGTGACAATGCCCACCATTTCCTGGTAGTAAGTATAAGCAGATGATTTGAACTAAAATATGTACTACAGGTATGGATGAAAACGGTACGGATATTTATTCGACCGTCCGTTCGACCGAACAAATATGAACACTTATTCGGATAGTTACTCGGATATCCGGTTTTTTTTTCGGATACGGATACTAAAACGGATATCTTAGGCGGATATCAAATACGGATGTAATATCATCGATATCCGGCGGATATCGGATAATCCGGATAAGTATCGGATATATCCGGATATTTAAAAACGGATATTATCCGGATATTTATTCAAAATTTAAAAATCACAAATTTGAACCATCCAAACTATCTCAAATGGAAAGTTGACCAAAACAACAATTGTAGATCTTGATGAGTTGAACAAACTTGGTATTCAAAACTTTTCAATTTGAAGTCATTTAGAGTTCATAATACTAGAGTCAAAGTGTTGTTTTTTCATTTGACCAAATTTGACTTGGTCAAACTTGCTCAAATGAGACACTAAATGACCTCGGCTGAAAAAACTTTGAATACCAAGTTTGATCATCTCAAAGAAGATCTACAATTGTTACATAGCTCATTTTTCCATTTGAGAAAGTTTATCAAACACTAGTCATAAATTCTTGAATCTCATATAGACTTTCTGAAACTATGTCACACACTTGTGAAATTTGAACTATATTTTATTCAAACTTTCTCAAATGAAAAAATGGCCTATATAAGGATTGTATATCTTGATGAGATGAACAAATTTGGTATTCAAAACTTTTCAATTTGAGACAATCTAGGGTTCCGAAAACTAGTTTGTACACGTTGAAATTTAAAAATCACAAATTTGAACCGTCCAAACTATCTCAAATGGAAAGTTGACCAAAACAAAAATTGTAGATCTTGATGAGTTGAACAAACTTGGTATTCAAAACTTTTCAATTTGAAGTCATTTAGAGTTCATAATACTAGAGTCAAAGTGTTATTTTTTCATTTGACCAAATTTGACTTGGTCAAACTTGCTCAAATGAGACACTAAATGACCTCGATGAAAAAACTACGAATACCAAGTTTGATCATCTCAAAGAAGATATACAATTGTTACATAGCTCATTTTCCCATTTGAGAAAGTTTTATCAAACACTAGTCACAAATTCTTGAATCTCATATAGACTTTAGGAACTATGTCACACACTTGTGAAATTTGAACTACATTTTATTCAAACTTTCTCAAATAAAAAAATAGCCTATATAAGGATTGTAGATCTTGATGAGCTGAACAAACTTGGTATTCAAAACTTTTCAATTTGAGACAATCTAGGGTTCAAAACTAGTTTGTAAGCATCGAAATTTAAAAATCACAAATTTGAACCGTCCAAACTATCTCAAATGAAAAGTTGACCAAAACAAGAATTGTAGATCTTGATGAGTTGAACAAACTTGGTATTCAAAATTTTTCAATTTGAAGTCATTTAGAGTTCATAATACTAGAGTCAAAGTGTTGTTTTTCATTTGACCAAATTTGACTTGGTCAAACTTGCTCAAATGAGACACTAAATGACCTCGAGATGAAAAAACTCTAATACTAAGTTTGATCATCTCAAAGAAGATCTACAATTTTACATAGCTCATTTTCCCATTTGAGAAAGTTTTATCAAACACTAGTCACAAATTCTTGAATCTCATATAGACTTTCGAAACTATGTCACACACTTGTGAAATTTGATCTACATTTTGTTCAAACTTTCTCAAATGAAAAATAGCCTATATAAGGATTGTAGATCTTGATGAGTCAACAAACTTGGTATTCAAAACTTTTCAATTTGAGACAATCTAGGATTCCAAAAACTAGTTTGTAAGCATCGAAATTTAAAAATCACAAATTTGAACCGTCAAACTATCTCAAATGGAAAGTTGACCAAAACAAGAATTGTAGATCTTAATGAGTTGAACAAACTTGGTATTCAAAACTTTTCAATTTGAAGTCATTTAGAGTTCATAATACTAGAGTCAAAGTGTTGTTTTGTTTCATTTGATCAAATTTGACTTGGTCAAACTTGCTCAAATGAGACACTAAATGACCTCGGATGAAAAAACTCTGAATATCAAGTTTGATCATCTCAAAAGAAGATATACAATTGTTACATAGCTCATTTTCCCATTTGAGAAAGTTTTATCAAACACTAGTCACAAATTCTTAAATCTCATACAGGACTTTCTAAAACTATGTCACACACTTGTGAAATTTGAACTACATTTTGTTCAAACTTTCTCAAAATGAAAAAATAGCCTATATAAGGATTGTAGATCTTGAATCCATGACCATGACTCTATGAGACCCATGAAGCAATGTGCTTGGCTATTTCTACTCATGCCAAAGATTAGTGCTTATATGATGTTTGATGTATGATGTATCCACATTATTTGTTGCTTTACTCTTTAGTCTTTCTAAATCTAGATGGATTATGGACTCATAGAGTGGTGTAATGATTTATGACGTATGATATATATATATATATATATATATATATACCGCTTTTACTCAATATCCAATAGATATTTGTATCCGACCTTCTCCGAATCCGATTCATACCGTATTCGATACTCATTATTCATGATCCGTAATGAAGTCAATCCAGTATTCCTGGTATGTATCCGATAAGCAGATCCGATCCGAATCCGAATCCGGAATGTAAATATGAAACAAATATAATATGAGTGATATCCGTTCGTATCCGATCCGTTTTCATCCCTAACTACAGGCTACCATCTGAAATTTGCTCGATGCATCAAAACTAAAATATGTAGAAGTCAATCGGCTCCAAAAAGCAATAACGTAGTATGAGTATTAGCATTGGTAGAAGTGGTATTACTATTAAAAATGCCAGCAACAGTATTTTTTCTTAATATTGAAAGTGCTATTGTCATTGTGCATCCATAGCAGTATTAAATAAGGGGACACAGGTAGTAACATTTTTTCGCGTCATAGCAGTATATGCAGCTAGCATATGCAAACAGCACTACTACCAAAAGTAAACACTAGTTATACTACCTAGTAATATTACTGCTATGCTCAGTACTACTAGTGGATGGCGATCCAACTGTCTACATTTCATACAGTTAGTAGGATTGGTCATACTGCTCGCCTATATTTCATAACTACTAGGATTCGTCATACTGTCGTAACATCCGTTTCTTTTAATTCTGTTACTATGGAATCACAGCTATAAAAAGTAAAGACAGTGGCTCACCATAGGATCTATTAGCCAACACGGGATTCACAGAGGAACCACTGGAGGAGAACGAAAACGCTGCCGGAGGGGTGGATGGGGATGCCACAGGAGGGGAGGTCGAGGACGCTGTCGGAGGGGTAGACGGTGAAGCCAACACGCGCCACCATCCGTTGCCTCCCCGACGGATCCGCGGAATCCGACGGCAAGGGAGCACGCGACTGCCGCCGGCAGCCGCGGTGGTGGGGAGGGGGCGCCGCCGGGTGAGAGAGAGATGGCGCCGCCGCCGGGTGCAGGGGAGGAACCGCCGCCACCTCTGGGTGGGAAGCCACCGTCGGGAGGGGGAAGGGCCGCCGTGGCCACCTTCAGGACAGGGAAGGGCCGCCGCGACCGCTGTTGGGGTGGGGCCGTGGGGAAGGGTCGCCGTCGAGGTGGAGCCGCCTGCCGCCACCACTCCCTGTGCGTGATCCAGATGGGGATGAGGAGGGAGATCCGGGCCATTGGAGGCCACTGGACGTCGCCGCCACCATGGGAGGCTGGATCCGCTAGTCAGTGATGGATCGGGGTCCACCAAGCCCCGCGCTCGTCACGCCGGGAGAGGGGGCAACGGGGCGCAGCCGCCGCCCCATGCCCTGATTCGTCGCTACCGGAGGGAGGGGATGGCGCCGCCACCTGCCTGCCGTGCGTGATGGAGGGGATGCCACGCTGTGTGCCGTTGGGGAAGAGGCCGATCCAGGACATTGTCGGGGCCGGCGTCGGTGGTGGGTCGGGATCCGTGAGGGGAGGGTGTGGGGTAACCGCCGCCGCCGCTTCGTGATGCGGGTGGGAAAGGGAGGTAGCTAGGGTTAGGATATACTTATATGCTATCTCATGCATTTTTTTTTGTAAAATTTTAAAAGGCTTTGCTCGGCAGTGCCTTGCCATCCCTGTTTAGTCACTCGAATTTCTAATTTTTTAAAAAATATTTTGTCGAAGTCTTGGCGTGGCGAGGCACTCAAAAAAATTATATATATTTTTGAAAATTTTGCATTCCATTATAAGACCTCGAATTGCAAAAAATTACATTCCATTGTAACAGACAATATATATATATATACACACATCAATCATCACATCTATATCACCAACATGCATTATATATCACAAGCACGCGCGGTGACGGAGACTGCAAGTGTGAGCCCCGAACTGCGGTGAAGGACCGGACTGTGATCACACGTGGAGATGTCTGGGTTTTTGGCATCCGACGTCACAACTTGCTCGAAACCTTTACAATTTTTTACCACAACCTCCACATACGATAACACGACGCCTCGACAAGTTTCGTGATTTTCGGACTTCGTTTGCATTTTATATAATTTAAAATCACATTTTCGGCAAGTACCTTGACATGTTACGTCAACGAGATGCTCGAGATTTCATGTGAGTTCCTGGATACGGCCTAAACATACCCTAAATATCATGAGTATCAATTTTTGATGACCAAAGTCCATTATTCCATGTACCTGCAGTTCAAATTTGAAATATCTCAAAAAATTCGACGAAACGAAATAAACTAATGAAATATATCAAAAAAAGTCAAAATTACCCCAAATTTTAAAATAGAGTTTGAAATACTGTCATAAGGCCACAGAAAAAAAATTTGGGTCCAAAATCAAAAAAAAAATTGCCGAGTGCCATGGGAGGCACTCGGTAAAGTGGGCTTTGCCGAGTGCCGGCCAGGGGGCACTCGGCAAAGTTGATTTTAAAAAATTAAAAAAAAATTGCCGAGTGCCTAGCGCTTGCACTCGGCAAAATAAGTTTTAAAAAAAATTACCGAGTGCCCAAGGCTTACACTCGGCAAAATATGTTTTTAAAAAAATAAAAAACACATTTGTCGAGTGCCTTGGTCTGGCGCTCGGCAAAATAAGTTTTAAAAAATAAAAAAAAATTGTCGAGTGCCATGGGCTGGCACTGGGCAAAATATGTTTTTAAAAAATAAAAAAAATTACCGAGTGCCTGGGGCTGGCACTCGGCAAAATAAGTTTTTAAAAATAAAAAAAAATTGCCGAGTGCCATCCGTTAGGCATTCGACAAAATCTGACGGTAGGTGGCCGCCGTCATGGGCCGGCCACCTTTTGCCGAGTGAGACTTTTGCCGAGTGCCGCGGCACTCGGCAAAGCCCCGCTTTGCCGAGAGTCAGGCTTTGCCGATGGCACTCGGCAAAGCCACCTTTGCCGAGTGCTTTTATTTTGCCGAGTGCGGCACTCGGCAAAATATTACTTTGCCGAGTGCCCCGATAAAACACACTCGGTAAAGTCTCATGCACTCGACAAAGTACAGTTTTCCAGCAGTGTGTGTGGTGAGCCGGCTGGGTGTTCTCAGATAGGTGTTAAAAAACAGTGTTCTGTCGAACGCGTCTGGTGTATAAATGTTTGCATACACATAACTAGTTATTAGTTTGCTATCCAGTTGCCTAACAGCTAATTAAGACTAGTCTAAAATATGTCCACCTTTTATCAATCTAGTTTCGATACACTAGAGCTAATTTAGACTAATTTTTAGCTACCTATTGCTTAGCCCTTGTATCAAACACAAACAGGGCCCTAAGACAAGTTCTGGTGTATGGCACATATCTCACTGTCTGGGTGCTACCAGCATTCCACAACTTGGTTCCTTCGTTGAGGCTGTGATCAGGCGAACTTACCATCTTCTCCACAAAAAAATGCAAATTTTAATTACAATCATTTTGCAAACACCCCCCTGAACGCCATGGAGGCTGGCAAACTTTGAGCCCGCCACGGTTAATGACCGCCATTAACGAGGCGGGCAAAGGGGCCCGCCGCGGTTAAGTCACAACTAACCGAGATATCTTGGCCGCAGCGGGCTTCTTTGCCCGTCGTGGTTAATATTTTTAGCCCGCTTCAGAAAAGAATTTTGTACTAGTGTTACCAAATATATAGAAAGTATTAATTACAATCATTTATATGTACCCACTTACTATGCGAAGCGAAAAAACTGCTAAAAAGACATGATACAAAGTAGTATCTCTTAGTACAGTTGATACAGACGCACGCACGCATGCTGCCCTAGCCCGCAGCTAGCATCTCCACCAGAGTTTTTTTTTTTTCTTTTTTTTGGAAATTTACACATCTACCAGCGTTGACAACACATGCACATTAGGAGGATTAAGCTAAATAAATAAAGATAACATATATGATTGCTACTTGCTGCAGAGGTAGCGCAGTACCATGCATGCTCTGATGCACCATCGATATCCCAATGCAAAACAATGCAAAAGCAATGCAGTGAATCCATCATTTGCCTTTGCCGCACCTGATGTCACCAGTCACCGCCGGCGTGCCATTGCCTGGTGGCGGCATGAACTGCAGACTGCAGTCGTACTCGTAGTAGTAGGTTTCCTTGGCGGGCCACCACCTGTAGGTGAGCGTGGTCTTCACTCTCACGACGACGTTGAACTGGTCCTGTGCACGCTCCCTCGTGAACGCCTCCACCACCGCGGCGCTAACGTTGCTCGCACGCCCATGCAGCATGGGGTAGACCGTCCAGTGCCGCCTTGTATGCAGCTTAAACGACGGCAGTGTGTCGTCGGAGGAGCCGAGCTTGATGCCGTAGATGCGGTGGTCATTGAAGAAGGTCAGGTTGAGGCTGAGGTCATAGACTAGAGCAGTAGTGTTCGTGGCGTTGCTGGCTGGGTTTGGGAGAGGTGAGAGGTTCAAGGAGGCGAGGGCAGCGTCGTCTACGTGAGGCCGGACCGCATAGGGTCGGAAGTAGATGCCCCAAAGGAAAAAGACGCACAGCATGGAGGCGATGAAGTTGGCGATGCTGGTGGCAATGCAGACGGTGATGTCCATCTTGGACAAACTGGAGAAGGAAGCAAGGGGACAAGCACGGGGCTTATTATGGCGCTAGGATGTCATTCAGTGTGGACAACTGGGGCGAACCAAACCATGTGTCATATAAGAGCAAGTAGGTACAGCAACGGGCTGTGAGCTGTATGCTGAGGTGAAAGAGACAAAGGAGAGACAGTAGAAACGGGTTATAAGTTTACAGCCGGCTTAGACACAGGAATCAAGAAACTTATTTAATAGTGAAGAGCTAACTATTATATTTATAGACAGAGAACAACAAACACTAGTAGAAAACAGACCTTTCATCCGATGCTAAAATAGGCTCTAGTCCCGACATTTTTTGCGCCCGGGACTAGAGAGACCTTTAGTCCCGGTTGGTGTCTCCAACCGGGACTAAAGGTCCTGACCAACGGCTCTTTAAGCGCTTTCGGCTTAGATGGCGAGAGAGACCTTTAGTCCCGTTGTAGACACCAACCGGGACTAAAGGTGGACCTTTACTCCCGGTTGGAGCCACCAACCGGGACTAAAAGTCCTCAACCTTTAGTCCCGGTTGGTAACACAAACCGGGACTAAAGGTAGACCCTTTAGTCCCGGTTGGTAACACCAACCGGGACTAAAGGTCCCCTGATGGGTTAGTTCAAAAGGGAAGCATCACATCCATTGTTATATGTGTTGTGTAGGTGGGGTGGTAAGCTACGCGCGAGGCAATGCATGGGGTCTTGGGTTCGAATCTCACGGGACGCAGCGGTGGGAGACATTATTTTTTTTAAAGTTGGGAGGACCTTTAGTCCCGGTTGATGTTACCCACCGGGACTAAAGGACCCCCCTTTAGTCTCGGATGCTTACTCCCGGGTGGGGAACCGGGACTAGAGGGGGTTCCCCACCAGGAGTAAAGCTCTGTTTTCTACCAGTGAAAGATCCAAGAGGCTATATCATTGGACTTGCTCCCTAGCTATCAGGCGTCAACAAGGATGGGAAATTGGCAAGACACCTTGTGGTAGTGCTACACCTAACCACGTTTGACTAGGGTAGCTTGCCAAATAACCACGAGCAAGCTAGTTCAAAATATAGATTGACTAGCAGCTCATATATACATACCAGTAGGGATGAAAACGCATCGGATACGAACGGATATCACTCATATTATATTTGTTTTCATATTTCTGTTCGGATTCGGATTTGGACACGGATAGTGTTCGGATACATATACGAATACGGATTGACTCGGTTACGGATACGAATAATGAGTATCGAATACGGTATGAATCGGATTCGGAGAAGGTCGGACACAAATATCTATTCGGATATTGAGTATCATACGTGCGCAAACCATTACACCACTCTATGAGTCCATAATCCATCTAGATTAAGCCAAAAGACTAAAGAGTAAAGCAACAAATAAGATAAAGATACAGATACATCATATATCAAACATCATACAAGCACCAATCTTCGCGGCATGAGTAGAAATAGCTAAGCTCATGGCTTCATGGGTCTCATGGAGTCATGGTCATGGATTCAAGATCTACAATCCTTATATAGGCCATTTTTTCATTTGAGAAAGTTTGAACAAAATGTAGTTCAAATTTCACAAGTGTGTGACATAGTTTTAGAAAGTCTATATGAGATTCAAGAATTTGTGACTAGTGTTTGATAAAACTTTCTCAAATGGGAAAATGAGCTATGTAACAATTGTAGCTCTTGCTAA